TGTGCACCCTCCTCGCTGCCCTGAGGATCTTAAACTCCACAATTTCGTGGTCACTGCAGCCAAAGCTGCCCTTGAGCTTCACATCCCCTACCAGCCCCTCCTTGTTGGTGAGAACAAGGGTCAGCATGGCACCTCTCCACATTGAGGTCACCTCCACCTCTCTATCACTTTGAGGAGGAAGTTATCACCAATGCATTTCAGGAACTTGCTGGATTACCTATGCCCTGCTGTGCTGCCCCTCCAACAGATATCAGGGTGATTGAAATCCCCCATAAGGACCAGGGCTTGTGAACCAGGGCTATCTGAAGTCCTGTGTTCAGTTTTGGCCTCTTAGTGCCAAAGAAAGACACTGTCATACTGAAATGAGTCCACTGAAAGACAAGATCATGACCAGCAGCTTGGAGCACACTGCATACAGAAGAGACTGCAGAACTGGATTTGTTCGGCCTTAAAAAGGGAAAACTAAGCAAAGACCTTACCATTTCTTCAGCTGCTTCATAAGAGTGGACAGGCAGAACCTGACTCTTCCTTGAGGGGCAAAGTGAAAGGACAAGGACCAATGGGACCAATTTGCAGCAAAGAAAATTCAATCAGGTATACAGAAGAAATTCTTTACCACAAAGATAGTCAAACACTGGAGCAGAGGCTTAGAGGGGTTGTGAAATCTTCATCCTTGGAAATTGGTACTGCTCTTAGCAGATGACCTCCAGAGCCCCCTCCTAATTTATATCATTCCTCAATTCTGTGACATAATAGAAGAAAGCATAAAGTCTGCCTGCTGACATTACATAAACTCAACCTTAATTCTTTATATTCACTTGTACTGCATCCATTCTCTCAAAACACTTGATTAACTGTTGTACATTCAGTCTGAACAACGCAGTCAGAGCTTTACTCCTGTATATATTTAAAAGACAGATGGATTGTTTAATTATAAAACATTTTATGAATTGCAGAGATAATAAGCCTGTTCAAAGAAGAGGGTAAGATTATTAGTATCTGTTGTTTGGATTTCCCTAAGACCCAATACACTTCTAGCTTTTTCTCTGTTGCTATTTCTTGCCTTGCTGAATTTACTATGCAAGTATTGTTCCAATCCCTGGGTACCCAGTCTGACATTCCTTTGCTCCACTATCACCACCACTAAATATAAGAAAAAAGTTGTCTCTCATCCTGCCTCACGGATACACACTGACTCATGTAACAGATTTTCACCAGTTTGAAAGGTATGGGGAAATATTGCCCACAAATATTCTAGACAAATATTCTTGTTGTCTCTTATGGTGATAAATGGCACCTGGACAAGATGAATGCAATTACCCTCACTCTTCAATGAGCAGCTTACAGAAATAGGTGATCATTTCAAAGGTTTTGTTTCAGTGTCATAGGCTTGTTCATGCCTTCAGGCCACAGCAAGTGCAACAGGAAAAGTTAAGTTACACATTGCTGGCAAATGCACAGCCAGCAGAGACCAATGTTTATACCAACATTATAAATGGTTACTGGACACTATATATAGTTTTTATGTATGATATTACAGATTTACACTAGAAAAAGGTCAGGGGGGGAAGCTGTGACTCTTCCGGCAGGTTCTACAACATTCATCTGTACTGCTGAAACTTCTTAGGGTACACTTCTTCAGCTCTGGTGCCTGTTAGCACTTAATGACAAAAATCTCCACAGAATGGTAGCATCGGAATGCTATGACCTGGAAAGTGGTATCTCCAAGCTGATACATAAACATTCCTGAGAAAACAGTTCAAATTCTTTCAGATTTAAAGCTGGCAAATTAGCCAGTCAATGCACTTTATTTTATTCCCAGAAAGGCACAGAGACATCACTATTAAAGAATACTGTGATTCATTTTATGAGAGCATTCTGAGACAGAAGAGTCTTCGTCAGGTTTTAGTTATCTTTCAGGATCTAACTACTTCTCAGAAGAAAACCGACTTTGGAATATCAGATGTTTTTGTGTATAACCAATCCCTGAACAAGGTCTCAACTAAGTAAGATTTTTTTCTAGGTGAGCTGCCTAATAAAAGCCTTAGAAACCTTCCTATTACTACCTGAAAATAGGCAGAATAGCTGCTGCTAAGAAGTCTGTTCCTAAACCAGCATTTAGTTTAGAGTTAAAAACCATCAGGGCTCTATGTTATAAACAGTCATACTCTATAAAGACAGTAGTTTCGTGCCATACGGTTACCAGATCTAAGGCCTACGCTGCTATGCCACTGCAATTTACTACAGGGGAAAAAAAAAAAAGGGCTATTTCCAACACAATTAAAGCCACACAGACACTGAAGCTCCAACGTGCCACTCCTATGTCTAAGTTTGAAACTGGTGTAATTACAGAGACCCACTTACTGGGGGAGGCACACTGCAAACTGGAAGGTGCTGCCCACTGAAAACCACTGAGCACCCTGGGACCTGCTGTGTGCTGCAGGCTGGGATGTGCTGGCCTGTGCAAAGTGGTATGCCATGTGGAGCCACCGTTGTCACTGTGTATGAGACAGGAACTGTGCCCTGATGGATCTGCAGCAAAAATGGAAAAAAATTTAATAACTCTTAACAGTGTTGTACAGCGCAACGAGTAAGATAACAAACTTTTACCTACATATCAGAAAAAGTACACTCACAATGAAGGTGTAAAAGGAGGCACATGTTGTAATTCCTATTCATTAAAATATTCTTCTCAATGGAATTTTACTTATTGATCAGCAGTTTCTGGGCAAGGCCAAGAGGGACCTCTAGGCCTAAAATGTTAAAACTTCCAAGGCACCTAGAGTCACTCAGAAGCATCTCAGACTCTTACTAAGCCTGCTCCCCACAAACAAAGGTTAGTCCTTAGAAAAAAAGAAGGCAGTAACTCCCACATAAAAGCTAATCTACAAGTAGCTAAAGAATCTTTTCGACTCTGAAGGGGCTGATTCAGTAATCATTCAGAGACTTTTATCTTTAAAGAACAAGAAAATTGTGTAGATTTTCTTTCTTCCAAAGAGACCAATCTCTTCTCAGACCAACACTCAAACTAAGTCTCCTAACCTAAATGTAACAGTACGGCTCACTGGAAAGCTGAAAAGGAAAAGTAAACATGAATACGAGGCAGCAGACCCTAAGTATCCACATTTATATCAGGAAACAGACCTACGTAACCCAATTTTCTAGCTAGTGATATTCCCTAGAATTTAATCATCAAACTAAGATCCAAAGGTATTCTGGACCTACAAACCACTTGTGGGTGCTTTTTGTTGTTTTGGTTTTTGTTTTGCTTTGTTTTTTTAATCACTAATCAAGAAATCTCTGATGCTTTAATAAAACTGAAAAGACTTAAGTGTGAGGGAGCATGGATTAAAAAAATTATTTCAAGGAAGCTCATCCTTTCTTCATGATCTGCTACAATGGAACACGCCTGCTTAAAATGGAACAAGCAAGACCAGCTCATTAGGATGGTGAGAAGGAGTAAAGGCAGCTAACCTACTGAACACGGAGTATACAGTCAGACACAGAGGCCAAAACAGTACACAGATCACTGAATAGAACTTAAAATCTCAATCTGTATATCACTAATGACAGAAGCCAGTGTCAGGAGAGACACTGAATTTCATCTGGTTCTGGCTCAGATACGAAAGTTGGGGATACAGTGCAATGCTGGATGCAATTCTGAAACATTTACTGCTCAGAGTAATAATAAAAAAATGACTTCTCAAAATGGTTATGTCCTTGAAATATAAAACATTACTGAGTCTGGGAACACTAACATCTGATCATAGATGGTGCTTGTAAGGTAGAGGCAGTGGGACGGAACAACTGTTTATCCAGGCTCGTCATGATGTAATCTTGCAACACAAAGCAACAGCCTGATTTGAATTTTTGAGATGTTGCGGTAGTAAAATTGTTCATCAAAATGTAAGGTTGCAAGATGGCTAGAATGGTGTTAGCTTCCACCCTTGCACTTGGTCCTAAATGCAAACACTTCCCTACTGAGAACTGTTCTGCACACATAATACAACACAACAGTGGTATGCAGCTGCACTGAAGGCAAACCAGTTTTTAAGCACGGATGTTAGACTTGCATTCTATGCACGTGCAGTTTGAGAAGTAGACACCCGGATAACCAGTTCTATTTCCTAGTCCATCAATAAGTAGCAATTAATGCATTTGTACTGCAACCTGCTGATTTAACAAACAGCAAAAATGGTTACCTCAATAGGACAACATCTTTTACAGGTCTTCAATTACAGAATTCTATATCAATTGCTGTCACAGAGAGGAATTATTTACTTCCTGGACCAACCACATACCTAATTTTTTCATTTGATTTGAGGAGCTTATCAAGTTTGGATGGCTAATTTGGTTATGCGACGATACTATGATGAGTTCTGCTGTCATGTAGGCAATCAATTATAGGCATTGTGAATTCTACTTCTAAGGAATGTATTATAACTATTTAAAGACTCCTAAGCTAAGGAGAGGTATTTCACACAAAACAGAATACATTCTTAATTATCATATCACACCTCTATCACATTAAATTAACTTCAGAAGCAACATAACTGCATTTCAAAGGTTTGAACCAGAGGCCTACAGAACTGCCAATACATGCATTGACAAATTGTTAAATATCATTCTTTATTAAAAGTCTGGACTTCCTTTTTGTTTTTTTTCACTGCCTACTGCAGTGCTCCATACACCAATAATATTCAACAGGAAAAATGCTCTGTAAGAGGGCAAAGAGAATTTAGTGTTATGTGACTTTCATTGCCAACTAATTTGGGGAGGAGCAAGATCTTGAAGATTTTGGGGGGGGGGGGGGGGGGAACCACAAACAAAAAACCCCAAACACACCTTCAACACCCTTCTGTTAGTACTCTGAAACTCTCACCTGATCATGAATGTCAACCATCACTGCATTCTGCTGTGGTGGGTGAGCAGCTGGGTGCAACATACGAGGAGATACATTCGGTGGGTGAAAGGCTCGAGGCTCTTCTATTGCTTGCTGCTGTCCATAGGAGAGATGGTGATAATTTTCATCCTGGCTAATGGAATTATGTCTAGACAAACGATCTCTCCTTGTTCTCTGACGGCGAACAGGAGGACTGGAAACGCATTAAAAAAATTAGAGATTACATAAATGACACAAATCCTTCTTAACAACTAAACCCACAAGAGAATCAAGTATCAATCAAGTATTTTTACACTGGAAAATTTTACGAGAACAGGTTTATTAGATTAGAATAAAACTTCTTACTGACAAAATTGTTAAAAGCCTTAGAGATGACACTTTTTTCAGCATAAATGCGCTTAATGGAGCATAGCTTAATGCTGTAAAGGAAAGCAGAAGAACAACTCTTATGTAAATATTAACCTGTTAAAAAAATGGTTCTTGGATTGCCAAGACAAGTGCTCGAAAGTCAGGATAGCAAACTTCAAGAGATTTCCGTGCATTTTTCTAGGTAAAAATCCTGAATTACATGATCACTTGTAATTCCTCAGGGTCCTTGCTCCAAGCAGGCCACAGAATGGTTGCTCACTTAGTGACGGCAGACAAAGCAGTAGACTCCTCTGAAGAAACAAATGAATTTTTAAGCTCTCACATGTTCACTACATAACTGAGTGCCTCATAGAATTCTCTCCAGAAGATCCACGAAATTTTGATTGTGGTAATCTTTCTTTTTCAGAGTGGAGAACTGTTGTGTAGATTTATTGAGACCAGAGCATCCACTTCTTTTGAACAACTGACCTACAGGCATAGGATTTTATTACATATTCTTATATAATTGTGTGTATGTTCTGAGCAGAGCTGCTACTATCTTGAGCCAAGACCTCTGTAAATCAGAGACTTGTGGCTCAGGTTCAACACTCAGAAAATGATGCACACACAAGTAACAAACTCACTATTACAAGTTTTGATCAAGTCACTTCTCATTTATCTTGAAGGGGAAAGAACTGAAAGCACAAACCATCCCCCAGTACTTTCAATACATGCCTTTCAATCTCCACAACACATAAATTACAGGTCCCAGAAGCAACAGCAGCTTAAAGCTACACGGGACGAAATGGTTTCCCACTTATGGAACAGGCTGAAGGAACCAAACTGCAGAGAAGAGACAAGAAGAGTCTGTGACCATTAGACTATGTACTCTCCAACAGCATGTGGAAGACAACTTAAGATTCTTCACTCTTACTATTCCCATTGCTACTACCAGGTTTATTTGATAAAAATTAAATAAACCTGAAACTGGTTGACAAATCCCAGACATTCTTTGAGTCCAACTTTTGTGCTGCATAAAACAGACATACTCTGGGGAAGAGGGAGCATACTACCAGCTACTCAGGTGCTACTGTGAGTACATGATACAATGTCTCAAGCCACTATTTTTCTGCCCTACTTCAGAGGGATGTTATGCCATTATTGCCTTTATTAGAACTGAAACAAAAGTTAATTCAGGACAGGTCAGACAGAAGGCATAACACACAGCATTCTTAAAACCAAAAAAAAAAGCATAGTCTTCTTTAACAATTACCATGTCAGAACACATAAGCTATGTTTTCTTCTAAACAGTGAGAACCAAAATTTATGGTCTTACTAATGTATTTGTCTTAATTCCAGTCTCCTTTCCCAGAGGCTTTGTTGCACTCTCCATCTCTGTATTACTAACGATACACCCATTACATTCTCATTAGATAAAACTAGTATACATGATTTCTAACCACAGAGCTATTAATGCAAAAGATGTTCTATTTTTTGGAGCACTAAGGTTGCTTTAAAGTTGCTATTTCCTGCTATGAAACAGAAATGCTCTGAATACTTTAACATAAAATGTTTGTGCGAGGATTTTTGTTTGGAAAAGCTGCAGGAATAGAGGAAAGTTACAAAAGACCACTCCAATGCCTTGGAAGAAGTACAGAAATTCTCTAACTGCCACCAGCACTTAGACAAGGTAGCTTCTCATAAAACTACTCTTACCCCTGTCTTTGTTAAAAGGTCTGGCTTTACCTTTTTATGAACCCAGAATTATGAGAAAGCACAGACAGCTAAAGCTGGCAAAACTTCTGGAGTGTTTTTTTAAATGCATGGAGTATCATTCTCTAGAAAAAGCAAAACTGGATTTTTTCCTATGCAGAGTTACAAAGAAACTATACTTTTCATTCAGCAAAATTCAGAGCATCCAGATACATAGCTCTACATACTTCCTGAATTATTGGAGATTATTTCAGAAGAATTGTCAAGACATAGGTTTAAACTATTATTTAACATCAGTAATGAACTTGTGCTTGAAGTCTTTAAAAAATATCCACAAAAAACCTCCTCTGGTTCTACAGGCACATTATAAACATGATAAATGCCCAGTTAAAGAGACAGGATGGAACTGGTGAAAGAATGCAGGAATTCCTACCCATGGGTAGGAACAGCCATCAAAAGGTATCTATAACTGCAGAGTTAGTTTTTGCAGATCTTAGTATCTTCTAACAAGAGTGATTTCTTTGCAGTAACACATTTTTAAATCCCGTTAGTTCAGAAGTACATTCAAGGCAAGGAGGAAAGGAAGCACAGATGAAAGGTGAGGCACAGCAATGGTACAGATTTCCCATTTCACATTAACTGGTACAGATTGGAATGGCCTTCCCTGTTTCATATAGGCATGCATTATGGTTTTACATTCACAATTTATCTGTACTATAAGTAGCTGGACAAAAATAACATCTTTCTGCAAATTCATACCAGAAGGCTACCTTTCTAAACACAGTATTTATTTGCTTACAATGAATCTGAAAAAAACCCACAATGAATAAGGGCACTGTTGTGCTAGGCACAGTACAAAATCCCTGATACAAAGAGATAAGATCTAAATAGTAACCCAGAAAATGGAAAAAATCCAGATAATAAAAAACCCAGCACTGCCTGTGCTGACCAACAGGAGTGAACTGGTAGGACAAAAGAGTTAATGCTGATGACGCTGGGTCAGAGTGATGTCCACACTACACACACTTCAGAGGTTTTGTTTGCACTTGCCCTAGTCTGTTCCCTTGAGCTGAATGACCATTTGCAACTGGAGTGCACCTTTCATCTTATCTTCATCTGAAAACCTCATTAACTCTGAGACCACTCTGCAATGGGAAGAGAAAAAACAAAGCAGGGAAAACAGGAAATTGGCTTCAAAAGCACATGCATAACCTCATCTAAAGCATTAATAACAGATGCACTCACAATGATCTTAAGGAATCAAGCTTTGATCCATGAGAGTGGTTATTAGTTCTGATACGGCTCCAGAGCATTCTAAGACTCAAAAAGACTCCTGCAAAATAAGAAACATGTATGTGTTGTTCTCCCTAATGATCCTGTTCTAGGAGATGAGAGTGGGTGGTGCAGTACTACTCTGGAATTGACCTAGAGACAGCTCAAACGCAACAATGCACCCAAGCTAAAAAATGCTCTGACCCAAGTGCAGGGAAACAAAGTACTGACACATTCAAATGTCTCTGATTAGACCAAAAGCAGGTGTTATTACCCAAAAGCACGTGAGCTGGCCCTAGAAAGACTAATGCTTTGTGTCCACAATGCTGCAGCCAACCTAACAACTCCCGTTAGACTGAAGATGGCTTGGCACTGAGGTGTCTCTTCATTTGCAGCATGGTTTACTTGCAAGCCACAGGCCACTACCTCAGTAACACCTAACTTAAACTGAATGTCAGACACTTGTCTCATGCGTATTCAGCTCCTACACATCCTATTCTTCTCCTTCATCATGCAGTATATCCAAAGTGTCTAGGTTCAGCTACCTGGCATTTAACTTGTTCAGCACTCTACTTCCTCTGCAGGAGATGTTAATGAACACTGCAAAGAAATCTGTGTAGGCTGACTGGACACCAAGCAAAAATGGCCAAATGCAGCATATTCTAGGCATCTCAGTTCAAACAATTTTAAGGTGAATTGTGGACCAAATGCCCCTGTAAGAGCATCCCTGTAACAAACTGTACAAAAGGCCTAATCTTCTGTCTTCATAACAGCCAGTGGAAATTCCCAATTCAATCTGTTAAATTTGACAAGCTGTTTTGAGAGCTGTGTATTTTGAATGCCATTGACTGAAAACTTTCAGATTCATGGACTTGAAGCAAAGATAAAAACCTACCATGTTTTAAAGACTTTTGCCTCAAAATCACCCTTGCCTGAATATGGTTAACAAATTTTATTTGTAGAATCAGAAGAAAACCAGTTACATATTTCTTAAGTCTAATATTTTATATTAATGAAAAAGCACAGACACTTAAATTTCAGTACAAACCAAGCCACAATATTTCTCAGAAGAAAACAGAGGATCAGTGTGTTTTAACTTGCATTCGACAACTCAGCATTTTTGAGGCAGAATGTGAAGCAATGAAAGCTTGTTTTGGATAATTAGTTTAACCAGAATACAAAAAAGTCTGTGGTTTTGTGCTTTCCTATACTATCATCCACTCAGGCACTAGCTTAACCTGGCCATCCAAATCTCTGCTGTTCCATGACCATTGGAACTTTTTCCAAAATCTCTGCTTTGAGAGGTTAATGAGCCACAAACTAAAACCAACATGAAAATCTAGCTACTTTACATATGAATCACTCACTTTCTGACACTATGCTAACCTCCTCGCTCTCCCCAGCCCAGTATCTGTCATCCTTACTTAGACTGTTTTTATGTACAAAAAAAATGGTGACTGCAGTGAAAATTATGGTACTACATCAAAAACTCCTAGTGTCTTTAAAAGTGTCCTGATGTGAAAGGTATTTCCTCACATTTTTCTAAATGTTTATTGCTCCAGTGCAGAATGAAAGAGAATCAGGCTCATCATTAAAAATGTTAATGTCTATTCAGGATGATACACCAATCTGAATTACTTTCATTAACTTTTCAGTTACAACTGTGGTAACTTACAGCTCAAAGGAAATGTTAACATGTTCACCATGTGTAATCTAGTCAGTGCTGCCTGAAATACACTTCCCTTGAGCTGAAATCAGGAAGAGTAAGAAATTGTTTCCCAATCTACACAGCTTGCTTACCTCCTCCTGTTTCGTGCAGGTGTGTTGCATCGTTCCCCTGAGAAGTGGTGTTGGTTGGGTCGAGCCAAAGGAGGCTGCCTATTTGATGTCATCTCCCATGGTCGCATTGGCGGTGATGGGGCTGGTGATGCTGCTGTATAGTCAAAGACTGAATGGGAAAGGCGTTGTCGCTTGGGACTAGGACTGTCTTCGCTCTATGCCAGTGCAAGAAAAAAACCCAACATAAACCAAAACCAAAACCCACCTCCAGATGAGCGAATTACAATCCATACTTCAACAGTGCCTTGCAGCTAGCATTAGGAAGGACTTATTGAAGAATGCACTAAAATACCATGAAATTAAACACTTGCAAATAGTTGCCTATTTACTATCTTTATAACACAGATCTGTGATGGCTTCCTAACCCCAATATAATATAATAATATAATATAACAAATATAATATATTGCTGTATTTTAGCAGCATTAAAAGATAAAACTTCTAACATCCACGCAAAACCAAAACTCTATCAGAGAAGAGAATAACATGAAGAAATTAAGGCATAACCCATTCTGCATCCCTCCTGCTGTACCATTTATAGGCTACATAAGCATGAAAATATGTATAAGCACAGTCTTCACAATAATGGAGTCCATACTTGTCAGTAAGTAGATGCCATACTGAGCTTGCATTCTGCATTGTGTCCGTTCCCTACCAAGTCTGTACTTACATAGCTAATTTGCACTGGACTGCAGCCTATTTTAATTCTGCTAGCTCAGCACAGAGGTGCTTCATCCTCCTACTTCTTAGTATAATAATGGTCATTGAAAAGTACTTACACATAACCTGAAACAAACCTAAACACCACTCTCTGATTAAGACTCTGTACTTCACAAAACTTCTGCAGGGACTACATAGTGCCTAGAGTTTTCAATGGTAGTGATATGAAGGCCATTCACCTCCAAGTAATGTTCTCCCAATTGGTTCTGAACACAAGGAACTACTACTCCTCTTCATTTAATAATTCAATGCTATTGAATCATTAAATAGAGCTGTCATTCTTCTCAAAAGTTCCCACAGATGTCTCTGAATCCAGCAGCAAATGCAATAAATGTCATCCCCCACCCCCCGCCCCACTATCCTGCCAAAATTGTAACACATCATGGTGTTAACAAGCATAACATTGAAAATATACAAAAATACAAGTTCTACTCCAGAGCTTACTGACTGAACACACAAAAAAAGCAACACACAAACTACCACACTGGATCCATCTTATTAGTTAGTTCTTGGTAGGCTATCATTGACATACAGCTTTCCCTCCAGTGTTCTTTACAGTGCAAGCACACTTTTTTTTAACACCTAAAAGTTGTATCTGAGTGTTTAAGAGAAAAAAGGTATTTTTCCACTGTTATGACGTGTGACCATTTTTACTAAGCTTCCCTCCTTTTCAATCCCATGCTTTCAAATACTTCGACACAAATTGCAGTTTTCCCCTACTATACCGCATCTCAAGCGGTCACTAGTAATGATTAAGGAACAGAAAAAGGTCAAAACAAACCAAAACAAACAAACAAAAACCCCCAACAAAGCAAAAATATAAAGTAAACGGGACATAAAGTAAATGGGGGTGTCCACTTTTAATTCTACATCTGTTAGATGTAGAACTATTAGCATGGTTTCTTTAGGAAAACAAGCTGATGATGCATGTATCTGCTTTTTGCTCAATCTCTTTTGAACTCCTTAACCAACTGCACTTGAATTCTATACAGAAAAATAGGTCAAAAGACAGGTAAGAACCTGAAGGTTCATGAAAGTAGATATCCAGGCAAAGGATGACTCTTCCAAAAGGCTGCCTGCCCTTGGGAGCTCATCACCAAAAAACTGGATGAGATACCTGAGAAATGCCTTGGGAGGAAAGCTTCTGTGAAAATATGTATTTTGTTAGACTCAGAGAACCTTGCCAAAGGACAAATCATAAAGAAACTCTGCCACATTTGTTCTGCTATTCAGAGTTGCTTATTTAATCTGCTTTATTGCTGTGATAGAACAACTCAGAGAGAAGGATGGTTTGTGGCCCAACTTGGAGCTTTCCGGATGGGAGAATTTTTTACATCATGATGACTGAAGTCTATTCAATGACAAGCACAGGTAATAAAAATGCAGGTAAACAAGGTATGCTGGGGTCTTGGGAGTGCAAAAGGAAAAGCCAAATGGCAGAAGGAAACACTGGGTTTAGTGAAGCTGGCAGAGAACAACACTGAAGTAACAAAATAACCACTATTGCCCTGCTACCTTCTATACATGCCTTTGGCTGGGGATCTCCCACTGGTACTGCCCTAATTTAAATCTGGCACCTTTCCCAAGCATTAACACTGCCCTCTAGAAAGCTGTCTGCTTTGGAAAAACAGTTCTTTGATTATTTTTCCTTCTGTGCATGGACTGCACCACTTCAAAGACAGTGGAGATGCAAACTGGTAAGTAGTTAGCCTTCATCATCACTCCAAATTACTAATTCACACAGCTCTTTCAAACTCCATAATAAGTGCTAATGGCCCCCTGCACTAAGCAACTGTATTTTCATTCCAAATTGTTTCCCATTAGAAAGAAAATAAAGATGAAATTATTTTTTGAACTATATATAAGTATAGATTTAAAATGTAATTATGTCTTTTTCTGTACTGAAAAAGAAGTAACCTGAAGCTAAGCCAAACTTATTTGCAAACAGATGTCATAAAAAAACCCGAACACAAACCTAAACTTAAGAACACTTGGTTTTTATTAAGAAACCAGTTCACATGTGATGATTGTAGTGAGGTAATAGTAGCATGTGGGAAAGTACGGGGAGCTTTTCCAGTCAAATTATAAAGATCGCACACACACACATAGATGATCAACCATCAGAGAAGGGAATTATTACCAAAACAATTGCTGCCAGAATCTGAAAATCACTCTCCTCTCCAACCATCTGTATATTCTCACTTAATGGTCTTGGGAAGTACAAGAAGAAACTACTCCATACGGCATTCAGGGAATAAACTGCAACTATCCTGCAGGCCCTGAAGACCTTAATTTTAAAAGTAAACTTTAAATAATACTTGAAGAGTATTTTCAAGCATAGCCTCTTCCTTAGAAGGTTTTACACAGTAAGGACAATCTGATGGGTAGACCCTATATAACCCTACCAGGCTGACTGGAAATCTGCAGCTGCATGTTTCCTCCTCATGAATGCATACTGACAAGGCAATGACTTTTTCCCATAACACAAACCGGTTAACCTGAAAGTTTATAAGCATTTTCAAATTTAACTATAGGCATCTAATGGGCTAGTAAACTGAGCATTTTGCATATCCTACCTGCAAAGGATCTATATACACACTCCAACAACAGCAATCTGATCTACATCCCAACATTGCTGATACTCTGGTCACACCTACAATAACAGTAAATTCTTGGGCTGAACAGACCAGTTGTGTCCAAATGCAGTGGCTTATTCATAGACCAGGACTAAGCTCATTTACAGTACATTACATAGTTCAGGCCTAGTAAGCTCTGGAAGAGCTGTGCCCCACAACCCTAGAACAAAGTCAGAGAAAGTCACTTATGTGACTGGATGGAGTCATCAAGGCCCAGATGGTCTTGTAAGCGTTATGTCTTCTTCCATCTCACCCCCTGAAAGCAGCAGAGCAGAAGCTTACATTAAGTGTGGCATTACAAGGTAGAGTTTACAAGACAATTCAGTGCACAGCTGTATTTAACTAACCTGTTGCTTTTGGAAGTGCACTGTGCAGTGTAGTTGAGATTCTTTGTCGTCAGGTGGGTCTGTACCACAGCATGTCCTGGGTAATGTGTTTTTTTCCAATGTCTAACTATTCGCCTCATCTATCGTTACTCTCAACAATGAAGAAATATGAAAGATGTCAGCTCTTCACCAGCCTGTCCCTTGCAAAACTTTATGAACCCATCAACTAGCTCCAGTGGAAGTTGGTCAATGTCTAAACAAATTCTATTCTGACACCTCTTATGATGAAAAATTATTATCTGGTAAAGGAGGAAGAGAGAAGTGTTATTTCCACTGAGAAAAAGGTACACAAACCTCAACTGTCACATACTGTAATAAATACATGCTTACTGACCAATGACAAAAATGTACATGCAATGATACACTAATCCAGGATGGGTATTAGAGACAGAGCTCTGGTATTTACTGAAGTCTGCATATCAGAGAAGTGGGAGCACAAATCAAGCTCCAAAGAACACTGGAGTCTTGTTTCCAAATATGTTTTATTTCTGCTGCAAGAATGACAGCAGTGTATTTCCATAGAATTATGGTACATTAATTCTCCTGTTAAAGTTCTCTGGATAAAACTTAGCTCACAGACTAAAAGAATCTTCTATATTTGTCTAGAATTTCCAAGCATATCATAAGCTATGAAAAACCCCACACTGATTGGTTTTTATGTCTTTATAAAAAGCAATGATAAAATCAACAGATGAAGTAAATGCAATAAATATCCCACATCTGCAATGTAGTAAACATGTAACACTCTATTCATATTCTCAAAATCTTACCTAAAATATCACTCAGAAGCAGTTCACACAGAATGTTTTCATGGACTGTTAGCTCAGTAATATGCTGTAACCAATGCAATAAACTGTAATAATTATTACCTACGCAGATATTCTGACAGCCACAACCACTATAGTAATTGATTACATCAAACTTTAAGCTTTCATTAGCTTAGGCCTTGAAGCATGTATCAGGCTACATAGGTACATGTGAAGTGTTGTAATGGCCTGTTTTTATCAATCACCTCTATTAGGCCTGAGAAAAGTGTAGCAGACCGCTACTGTATGCAGTTTGTCTCGACATTGCCGTCGCACCACCATTTCCCTGTGTTGACGTCCTGCCTCAGAGGGCACTGTTGTCCCCCCCCCCACGGTCTGCGGACAAATACCACTGTGTGCATGCGCGAGAGCCAGGGTGTGAAAAGGGTTCCTGAGGAGACAACACATATCGCACAGCACGTGCCGCACAAACTGCATGTACACAGCTGTGATCTGCGCATGAGCGTGGGATGCTATATAAAGGAGCGCACGTGCTCCAGTAAGCGGCGGG